GGATTACCCAGAGAAAATTCAGAAGAGAGCAGGAAATTTTGAGCCTCAAACACACAACAATCTGCTTTTCACTGTAATTGGTCAAAAATGAATTTTAAGGATTTGGAATGTTGATGGGAATATGAAAACACGTATGTTTTGAGGGCTTCCTTGGTCTCCTCAAAGGACACCAAAGTAAGATTAGATTGCTATGTTCAGATTATAAAAGAATTCCAACCTTTTCTCTTCCGAGAACCAGACCAAGGTATTCTGGGAGTAGGGTGGGCAATCCCGTGTGGTGGTGATGATGATGATTGTAGGCAATTTAAAAAGAAAAACTGAAAGACAACATAATTTCTGAAAGAAAAATGATGTAGTCCCTTTACCACAGCAGTATTTGAAGCTACGGAAACAGTATAAAAATTAATTTGAGAAAAGATGTTTGTGTGTACTATGCAGCAAGGGGTCTAAATTTTGGCATTTTATTGGAGCCACAAGGCATACCAATGAACCCTGTACTGACCTATCGCCACACATGAATGGGAGCCACACTATCACTCCCTGCTTTTTGATAAGAGGGTCTGTACATCTTTGTAAGTGGATGTCCCAGTCACTTGTAATGAGGTAGTAATGGTGATTAAAAAAACTAAAAAAGCATAAGGCCCCAAGAAGGAATGGAATCCCACCTGACTTCCTACTTGATTAATTAATCACACTGGGGGATCCTGATACGAGGTGTCTTATTTCCCTCTATAGACAAACCTGGTACATTCCCTTCAGAATGGGCTGAAGCCTTTGTAGTACCTATCTATAAGAAAGGTATTCTATCAGAGCTTGCAGGACATATTGAATTGCAGGGATGCCTTCTTCTGAACTCATGGAGGTGCAGGAACCCTGTTCTTTTTCAGATCTAGATTTGGTCACCCCAGTGAAATATTCTGCAGGTCCAACACATTCTGCCTTTATACAGCACCATCTATGCACGATTCAGGTGGAAGAAAATCTCACCTTGGATGTACACATTACAGCTTCATGCTTCATGAAACCAAACTATACTTACATCCTGGACTGGCTGGCCTTGGTTTTGAGAGCCTGCTCTTCATGAAAATGCACAAATGTGTGCGCACGTGCACACACACACAAACATGTGTACACACACAAAAGCTTTACTTAAATAATATGTCTAAAGAAAGGAGTTAAATGCATGTTTCTTTCTGGGAAAAGGAAATACACTATTTTGAAACACTGAATAACATCTTTCAACAAATTTTAGTGGCTCCAGTTTTTTTTCTTTTTGCAAATGCATTTAATTTTATCTGGAAACTTTTTGACATTAGAAATTGCAGAAATGTACTTTCTCATTATGTTTGCTGCCAGAATCTGTTCTGAGCTGCTCAGCTAAAAACTGTGTACTGCTAATTATTACCACATGCCTCCTATTCTAAGCAATGGGAAACTTATTGGTTCTGACAGCCCATTCTCTCAATGCTAAATTCCAAAGGAAAACTCAAATTTTTGGCCAAACATAACATTTCATCAATCTTGTTCTACTGACTGCAAAACCAATATCAAACACAGGATTGCTAATGGCTTTTTACTGTGCCATTCCCAAGCTTATGTGCTCTGATGAAAGATGTATGTGAGCAAAGGCTTCTCCAAAGTATTTAGAAATTAGCTTTTTGAACCAGGAAACAATGCATAAAGTTAAACTGAACAGTCTGTGCTGATGAAAGAGTTCAGCTTCAGTCAACATAATATACAGTCAAACAGAGACAGATGAATGAAGACAAAGAGCATATTTTTAAAAGAAAGCAAAAGTTCCCAAAGATAAAATAAAATTAAGAAAGCCCCAAAGCTAGCAGCGAAGCCTTTAAGCTAGTTGGTGAAGTCACCAGAATGTGGGAATTTAAATATCTAAGTTTAGAGACAACAGAGCAATGCTGGGTACCAGTGACAAAACAGATCCTCTTTAGCCTTGCTTTCTTGACATATTTTAATGGGGGCAAAATATCACGGGATGGACCATCTATAATACTGTACTTCATTCAGTGTTCATACGATGCTATACACGTTTTCTAGCACATTCTGCAGAACATGTATATTTGCTCTTGGTTGCAACAGACTGATGTTGGATCAAATCAACTATTTTTTAAAATGTTTTTGAAGCCATTTTGAACTTCAGCAGCAAAAAGTGTTCGTGTTTGTATTCTAATTTCTGAATTTTGATTAGCAAAATTTGATTTTGATTTGATTTTTGTTATAACTCCCTTTCTGGCATTAGAATTTGACCATTTTTAAATGGGTTGGATTTATTTCATTACATTGGTTTTAGCAGTTAGAGGAAAGAAATACTGTGGCACTACTTAAGTGAAATGTTAGGTGTCTGAAAAAGTACACTTAAACATCCTGGAATGCTACTGGAAGGAAATATTTATTTGGAACTAGCAAGGGTCGTTCCATTGGAGTTCCAAAGCAACCTGTCAGTTGAGGGGGTGAGGGAAGATAGATATAATAACAGCACACCACTTCAAAAAGGGACATAGAGCTGATGACTAAAAAAAACAACAACAACCAGCCAACGATGAAGCATTGTTCATGGGCTGAGACAAAAGTCAGCAAGTCTGATTAAAAAGGAAATGGCTAAAACATATGTTTTTCTATGGTTCATGAAATGGCAAATGGGAATTTAATTTATTGAAACTGAATAGTGAATGGAATTTGGAGGTAGCTGTTATTTCTGTCTTTTTTTCTGTGAAATGGCAAAACGCATACAGAAATGAACATAAAAAGAGGCATGGGGTGGAGTTGAAGGTGCTGTTGGGTACAAAGGGAGTGATTAGGCCCTGCACAAGCTTTGTGAGGCAATTTATAAACTTATGTAATACTCAGTGCCAATTATGTGTCAGGTAACTTGATCTTCTTAGTGATATCATCAAGGCAGCCTGTGAGGAAAATCTAGTGGAACAGCTTTCTGAAAATTATTACATTTCATATCTTTTTATGTATGATTCTAACCAATGAAAGAAGCACTGAAATTATATGCATACAGTGGGGTCTCTACTTAAGAACGTCCCTACTTAAGAACAATCCAACTTAAGAACAGCTCCATTTGCTAAATTTTGCTTCTACTTGAGAACAGAAATCCAAGATAAGAACAGGAAAAAAAACCTTTCCTGCTCTTTTTTTAACCTTAGGTCATCTTAGGTTAAAAAAAATTCTCCCCCTAATGGGTAGAGTACGTATTAACCAGCTTTGCATTAGTTCCTATGGGAACTAATGCTTCAATGTACGAACGCACCTCCACATAACAAAAAAACAGCCAGAACGGATTAATTGGTTTTCAGTCCATTCCTATGGGAAATTTTGCTTCAACTTAAGAACATTTCAACTTAAGAACACCATTCCAAAACCGATTAAGTTCTTAAGTAGAAGTTCCACTGTAGTTTCTATGGACGGAAAAGAGCAGATACGGATTAAATAGTTTTCAATGCATTCCTATGGGAAATGCAGATTCAACATAAGAACTTTTCAACTTGAGAACCACCTTCCAATACGGATTAAGTTCTTAAGTAGAGACCCCACTGTATTTGACACTATTTATAGTTACCATAAATTTGATTTGTTAGGGGGAGAGAGGTTATAGCCTGATCTTAAGAAATAGCCTTAATTCTGAACAATTTTTCAGACGTTCCAGATGTTGTCATATAAAAAGCAGTTAAATTGAATTTAAAATATTACAAGAAAATCAGATGAGTGAAAGGTTGCATCTGACACTCCATTTAATGTGGATTATCACAGTATTAATGTCACAATTGATTCAAAACATCAAGACATGTCGCAATATCACTAAGGAGATGCATGCCTGGAACAAAATGGAAGCCGAGTTATGGAATGCTTTAGATTTCCCTGCATTGACCTGTTCCTTAGTGACACTAACACAGGGTTGCCTCACCTTTTCTGTACTCGTCATGCAACTATCTTCAAGGTACTTGTGATGACTGCGTTCCTACAAAAGAAATTCTAAACTCCAAACCTTACTAGGCTAGTTTTAAAAAGGCACACTAAGTGTGCAGCAACGTACAAAAATGCTCACACTTTCAGGAGCATTGTACCTACAGCATGTGCAATGTTAAATGCAAGCAGTTTGGATGGGTGGGACAGAGGAACTGGATCTGTGGAAAGAGCAGCCTTTCTTCAATATGGAACTTGGCACTTGATGTATATGTTTGTGGCAACCTTTTGTGTCGGTGCACCATATACAGGCAAATCATGAGAGCCTCTTGTTCAGATCCACTATAGAAATGGCTGTTGTTCTGAACAGCACCTTAATGTGAGCCCACCCAAGTGGTAGCTGTGGCACACTGCCAAGATGTGCGCATGAAGAGTGTGGGCATCCACTTTTCCATGCAAGTGTGGTTTCTAAGATTAGGGCTGTTGCTGCTGCTGCTGTTGATTTTAAAAGAAGCAGCTCCAGAAGTAATCCTTTGGTGATATGACACAATGAACAACTTAGCTAACTAACCTGACAGCAAATTAATAATAGCAGGGTTGTCTTTGAGACGGTACACACTGAGCACTAATGTTGTCCACAGTCCCCCCCCCCATGGAAGAGGGCAAACCATTGTGACTCATACCTTAGCATGGCCCAGGTCTCTAATAAGCAGCGTGACATCTCGGGAAGGGGACAAATTTGATGTCAACAGGACACACATACTCACAAAACACATAGACAGAGTGTATCAGGGTGTGTCTGTGAGTCAGATGTCACCACCATGGTGGGCTGTTAAATATCACACAACCACACCTGGTTTTTCCCTTTTTTTTTAAAGACTTACTTTCTGCCTCGGGTTGAGTTAAAAGTCCCGCCGTATTTCTTCCGATTAAGGATGAGAGCAGCAATTTCTGGCACGTAGCGCGCAAACATTGCCTACATGCATGAAACAAAAACAAACAAAAAAGAAAATGGCATGCAGAGAGTGTTCTACTGCACCAGAGGCAGCAGAGCCTCTTGGAATACTTACTTTCTTCCACTAACCGCACTATAGGAACCACCATATTTCTTGCGGTTTCCTATTAACTCTATGATTTCAGGGACGTAGCTGGCAAACATGGCCTAAGGAAGAAGATAGGAGACAGAAGAAAAGACTAAAAAGAGAGGCCAAAGAAAGGGGGGGGGGTGATGAATATTTTAAGAAGATATATCATCTGTAAGATCTGAAAATGCAAAAGTCTTAAGACCTATGAAGGTTTTTTTTCTCTCTCTCTCTCTCTTTTTTCCATCAAAAAGGTTTTAAAAAGTTTTTGTAAAATCAAAACAAGAAGATTGGACACAAAAGTTGGTCTTGAAAGAGACACACACTTCAGGAACTAAAGAAAATGGTCAAAAGAGGGAGAAAGGCACACAAAACAAAACAAAACCAAGAACAAAAATAAAATAAAATGAGGTCAATGTGGCATCCAATTGATAAAAGCGCTGCCATGGCTAACAATTTCTAAAGGGGGGTGAGTGGAAACATCGAAAAGCCGTCCACCACCAAAACACCCCAACAAGGTAAAGCAAAGAAAAATTGCATATAATTACAAAATTGAATGCTACTAGTTTATAAAAGATGTATCAAAGAAAAGAAGGTGAGAGCAGAGGTTTACCCCTACTCACGTTTAAATGATGGTGTAAGTAAAATAATAAATATTTTTAAAAGGTCACCTTTTTAAAAAAGTTGGTAAGGACATGTAAGGATGTAAAAGAAAAAAAAAGGTGATGAGGGGGATGAAAATGTAATCTGCCATGTTTTGTCCAACAAACATTTTGATTGTGGCTGGATACTTCTAAGAGCTGCTGCCAGTGAACTTGGCCTCTCATTTTTGGTACAAGAGTATGAACCCCTTTGGAAATAAATGCAAATATTCATATTGCATTTATAACGTCGTGGACGCAACATCTCCAAAAAGAGATGTATGTGAGATATACAAACATAGGTGAGCAAGCTTAAACTACTTTTCAGGCTGTAGGTATGTAACACATATAAAGGGAGGGAGGGAGGTATATCCAATAAGTTACTTACCTTGGCACCGACAGAGAAATTTAAGAAACATTTGGATTTGAAGCCATGTTGTACTTACTCTTCAAGCACAGCAGAGACATAACTTGCTGACCTTTTAGGAAATTTGTGATGACTGCGTTATGTTAGCACCATGTTTCTTGCATGGTGGCCAAGTGTTGAAATGAAAGCGAACATAATTTTGCCATTGTCTGGAACGGGCAGGCGGCTCTTTAAAGGTGGTCCTAAGCCACAGTGTTTGTTGGAATATCGGGAAGGAACACGGAAGGAAGGGAGGGTTCTTGAAACCGCAGCTAACTTTAAATTATCATTACCATAACAACCCAATTAATATACTACAAGCAATTCCTAACTAGGCATCAATACTGCAAATTCCTAAGGCACTTTCTGTATCTGCATGCATTACATTTTAAGTGTTCTACTGCATTAATGTTTTTATTAGTTAAACAGGTCTGAAAAATGCAAACTTTACACATGCATTCTGAAATATTTTTAGCTGCTCATCAATTTGCTACAAAGAAGGTAATTATACTGTTGGGGGGAGGGGTGGGGAAGAATCCAGCAGAAAAATAACATAAACATTTTACCAATCCCCCGAGGATGAAGAAGACCATGAAAAGGCGACCAAGTGTTGTTTTTGCATAAACATCTCCGTAACCAACAGTAGACATAGTAACCATTAGTAAATAAACACATTCCCAATATGTAAGTGCTTGGTTATTTTGGAAGTTTTCCCATGGATCCCCTGAGTTCTCCACCTACAACAAAAGAACAACAGCAGGTAAATTGCTTTGGATTCTGCAAAGCAGAGTGGAAACAATGCATTGATGAGACAGAGCTGAGCATCACATTGGGTAAAACACGTAAGACACAGGTTCAAATCCTTGTCCTGTCAAGAATCCACTGCACTGCTATAGACAAGAACAGTTTTTTCTCTCACTGGGGCATCCCCATATGAGTCTTCTCTGCGTTAAAGTTATCAGAGGAGCCCCTTCTTCTGGTTACATTGCCAGCGCAGGCACAGTTGATGGGGACACAAGGCAGGGCCTTCTCTGTGGCTGCTTCCAGGTTATGGAATGCTCTCCCTTAAGAGGTCAGGTAAACCCCCCTCTCTTTTGTCCTTCCACCGACAGCTAAATACCCACCTTTTCATGCAAATTTTTATCAATCACATTTGAGTCCCTGAATGCCATTTTTAACTTAAGATTAATTTAAGTGTTTTTAATTATTAAGTCCTTTCAAGTTAAATTAAGTGCTTTTAAATATACAGTTGTATTTTAATGAATGTACAGATTAATTGTTCTTTGATGTTTAGCTTACTGTGTTTTAAATTCTATTTTTTTAAATATCGTGAGCCACTATGGTTTCCTTATCAGGCCAAAAGCCAGCAAGCAATCAAGCAAGCAAGCAACCAATCAACCAATCAATAACAGTAAGATCTCACCAGACTTCTATGACCTTGACTAAAAAAGGACAGTGAAACATGTTCCACCCTAACAACGCACATTTAGGCATTGTATGGCAATCCACATGGACACAGACTGGGGAGACTCTGAAATCCCTCCTTTTCATCACATTTTACTACATAATGTTGGGTCAGACATTAATGATAAGTGTAACCTGTCCCCCCACCCCACCCAAAGAGCTAGTGAGGGTAAGCAGAGTGTGTGTATTCTGCTCTGAGCCAGTAGGGATTTGAAACTGGCAGGTTAAAAATATAGTAACAAAATATTTTTTTAAAAAAACCCCTGAGAATATCATATACAGTTTTAACTTCTACATCCACATGGGTGATATTACCTGCCTCTTCATACATCTGATGAAGTGGATTACTATTACTATTATTATTATTATTATTATTATTATTATTATTATTATTATTATTATTATTATTATTATTATTATTATTATTATAGTTGACAAGAGCTTATGTCATAACACCTTTTTAAAAAGTCTTAAAATGTCACAACACTCTTTCTTTTATGCCAACAAATGGACACAATTTCTTCCAGAAATCACAGTTGGTCCCTCAGGTAAGGTATGTGTTATCCTCACAAAATATATTTCTACTAGGTTTTAACCCATGGTGTGGGTTGGGGGTCATGGTCTTGGTGTCTGCGGGGTGTTGAAATGTTCATGGGTAGGGTGGGGGCAAATGTGATTTTCACTGAGGGTGAAGACGTGGAGGGAAAGGCTATTAAAGTTAACCCTCCACGCTATAAGTTGTGATGCCAGTTTGCCTATCTTGCTTTGATACAACACACATACTGTATATCCACAAACCAGAATCCAAGGATTCACACAGATCACAGTCTGTCTAATAACAATAACCAGGAATGCCACAGCTTATAACTGGCCAGAGCCGTCACAGATCTTTTAAATATTACTTTTACTGATGACAGCTGTCACAGTCCCCTAGCTAACATGGCCAGTGTTGGCCAACAATCCAAACAGATAACATTTGTTCGCTCCAAGCAGTCACACAACACACCATCAGAAGTAATGGGAGCAAGCAGCTCGCCCTTCTTGGCCAAGAGCCGTAGCAACTGCTTTGACCACCTGCTGCTCCCATGAGTAGCAATTTCTTAGGGCTGCAGAGCTGGCAGGAAGAAGGGCCTCTATACAGTGGATATGGAATCTTGCGGATGGTGGTCCACTTCTTCACCACACTTGGCTACAGTTCGCCACAGGGAAATGGCCAAAGGAATCCATCCCAAGAATGGAAGGCATGCTAGAAAATATCTCAGCAGAGGCAGCCTATGCTTTCCTTCCAGGCAGCCCACCAGAGGAGCGCAACACAGTATTGGGATTTCAGATTGTTTAGCTCCACAGAGGAACTAGATTTGTTAAAGTAATTTGCCTTAATGGTTTGTGTGCTGAGCTTTAGGAGGGAAGAAAAAGGCTGATTTGGGGAAGAAATTAAAACATTCTTTTATATGTCAGAATTAAAGTCCCTTTTGAAGAATTATGCACATAAATATTAGTAATACATAAGCTGCTTGTCGTATAATAGGATGTATAGCATCTTGCCTTTCGTGACAGATTGTACTTGCTGTTACTAAGGAAACACTGCCATCTCGTGGCCACTTGCTCTTATTGACAAACTCCATAAAACCTCTGTCATTTCAGAATTATTCATCATTAGTTTAGAGAACTAGTCTCAGATCTTGATCTCCATCTCACCCCAACCTCCTTTGAGGGAATATCGTTATTTCAATGTAAATCAATTGTGGATAGCTTCAAGTCGAAGACCTTTTGCTCTTTGGTAGATAACTAGTACATGTTCAGAAAAACATGGCACCTCTTCACTTTCTGTCGAACTTCTATTCCACCTTCAAAGGAGTATTTGTGTCCATGTGTTAGCCTGAGCGTGCCAAGGTTCAAGTGAGCAGCAACAGTTTCAACTGCATGCCACCCTAATCCCATCAGTGTTTTTCACAGCATACTTACCAAATGTATAAATCCAGCTGCTGTCAGCCATGTGCTAATAAATATTGAGCACAGATTCACCAACTTGATGGAATTACTGGTTTCAAAAAAGCACGGGGGGAGGGGGGAGGAAGAAAGAAAGAAAGAAAAAAGGTATTTTTAGAGTTTCTTTTCCATTTCTCTCTCTCTCTCTCTGCTTTGCAAGGTCTAACTCCCATTTAAGCTCCATTACCTCCTCCTGGAGATCCACCATCTTCTTCACAGAACTGCCAGCCCTATGTCTTTGGGATAAAGAACTGTGTTGCTCAAAGTCAAACTGCCCAAACACCATTAACTGAACAACTTATCAGAGGGGGAAAAAAACATGAAATAGCTCAAAAATTTCAGAACATTAGTATCTGGTCTGACTGAATCCTTTGGTGTGTGTTACTCTTCCTTTTCTTTCTTCCCCTAAGATATGGAGGAATGAGCATATCTGCTGACTGAGGATGAGACTTTACCAGTGGGCTGCCACTCTAGAAGCAAGCCTAAGTGTGAGCCTCCCCATTTTTCACCTAGTCAGGCTGACCTGATGTCAACTGGGCTCCTTGCACAGGCAGGCTGGTCAGAAACTGCCTGCAGCTTCTCCTGAGAAGCCAGGCACTGCCTGCAAGAGAGGGGCTGCCCCACTACTGATTGCTCACCCCCCCAGCCAAATGATTCTGATAGATGCTGGCATGAAGGGAGGAAAGACAGTTGTTCCTCTTTCTGCCCCTCCCTGACTAGGTTCCGGAAGCTTCTAGAATGGAAGGAGACTGAGGGCATAAAACATGGCTGGCCCAGATGGCCCCTGTTTTCTTTGCTCTAGCGTAAGGAAAATCCATCCTCTACCCACAGGCAGCAGGCAGCCTGGTTAAGCGCAGTGCAGTTGGAACCTTGGAAGCTGGTCAAGCACCCATTGCCACAGAGGTGTGGAAAATTCCTTTTGCATGATCTGCTTGCACACCACTTCCATCAAATGTTCGCCATCCAGTCAATTCTAACTCATGGTAACTTTTTTCCCCACAGTTTTCTAGGTAACGAATATACTGACGTGAGTTACCATTCCCCCCCTTCTTGGAGTACTCTGGGGACAGGCAGGTAGCCCAAGGCTGTGCAGGCTGTGCCTCTTCTCCTGGGAGGCACAGTGAGAAACCAAACTCCCAGCGTTATGGCTCTACAGCCAAACTCGCTGAGTTAGTTAACCTAATTCACCGAGCTATCCAACCATGACTACTTACAATAAATCCTATATCACGCCACTGTTCTTTCTCAGGCATCTCCACACCTAATTAGCTTGGGATTGTAACCTAGTGGCTTAGTTACTGGCACCACAAGCCTTTGGTTTCGTTTCTGTTTCCTACGACAAGGTTGTTTCTCATCATGGCTGAATCGACTGTAGGTGAAGCTGAACGAATGATGTTGTGTTGCCCTCCTTACCCTGCCAACAAGTCCCCAGAGTTTTTTCGCCCAGTATGATGTTCTCCTTCCTGAAATTTTCCTCATTTATTTTAGCTTTACTTTTAATTTCTCATTACATGTCTTTATTCAGTATTTAATACTTTTCACTTCTCTTTATATGACTTAAGCATTCTGGCTTTTTGTATTTAACAACTGCAGCAATCTTGGTCTTTATTCATCAGATTTAATACTTCTTTGTTGACCACCCTCTCAAGCCAAAACATTCTGTAGCATTTAGCATTCTGTGATAAATCTACATTGCCAAAGCCAAATATAAGTTTTTTACTGTATGTTACGTTCTTCATCTAAAGGAAGCTGCTCTGGGCATTTCTATTCTGATTATGCCACCACTGTTCATTCAATCAAATTCCAAGTTACTTACATAACGTCAGCATGTTCCACCCTTAACTGCATTTATTGGACTCCTTGCTTTTTAATGTTTACTATGGCTTTGACTTTCTTCACATTTATTTTCAGACCGCCTTCATTACTTACATTATTAACTGAATAACTTTTGCAGATCATCTAAATTACCAACTAGCACTCCTCTACCATTTATCAAATGTTAAAAACCTCTCTATTGAAAATGATGCCATTACTTCAGCCAGCAATTACTCTTATAAAGATCTTCTTGGAGTACTACTTGAAAATCAATAGTGGCCATATACATTGTTGTGATACTCTTCTACCTATATCTATATCTCCTCCTGTCTATTCTTGAATTTTCAGTGCAGGGTTTTTTTTTTTTGCCAGTACAGATTGCCAATTACAGGAATAATCTCTTGACCTTGGTTTACTAACAACTCTGCCACCTTATTATGTTGGGCTTTATCAAGGGCTTTCTGGGAGTCAATAAAGCAAGCATACAAGTCCATATTCATGTTACTGCATTTCTCCCCAAGTATAGGTAAGCAGAATTAGTGTTCGTTTAATTAGAAATACTTCTCTGAATAAAAACTGGGTACCACTCATCCTTTCTTTGCACTTGCTTTAAATTCTGTGATTACTATTCAGAAAAAAAAACCTAAATCAAATGGCTCTTTCAGCTAACTATACTGTAGTCATTGTAAGCTGTGGTATATTCCTTTTTTAGCTGTGTAGTAAGAGTTGTTCTTGGCCAGATTTCACAAATGATTCCTGTTCTGTAGATTTTGCTGAAAATATTTTAAGCTGCCATATTTTATTAACTTTAATGCCACCATTAATACGTCATGGGCTCAATAAGTTTTTCTGTGTTTTGTTAACCATTGTGGATTTCTGAACTTCTAACCCGGTATCAACATCCAATATAATAAATTATGTGGGTTTATCTATAATTACTTGTTTAATATATTTACTCCACATTATGACCCTTGATGTCAAGTATCAGAGAGGTACTGCTATCCACAATAGCGGGTATTGTCATTCTTTGCCTATGTCTGCTACCTATGTGATCTAATGTGAACAGAAAATATTCATGGATTTTCTCTAGTCTTCTACTTTTCTTTATTATTCAGAAACTTTTTTCCTTTGGATTCCCAAACTTTGTTTCAGATGTTCTTATGTAATTCTTTCTAGTTGATGTCGTTTTTACTTTTCCACTTCCATCTCTCATCCTTCAGCTTCAATATTTTCTACCATCAAATGCTTGTCTTACTTACATTTTTACTTTCCAACCGCTGTTGATCACATTTGCTAATACCTCTGTTATTTTAGATCACTGGTTCTTAACCTTGGGTTACTCAGGAGTTTTGGACTGCAACTCCTGAAAGCCTTCACCACCAGCTGTCCTGACTGGGGTTTCTGGGAGTTGCAGTTCAAAAGCATCCGAGTAACAAAGGTTAAGAACCACTGTTTTAGATCAAGTCTCGCTTGTATCTGAGCCATTTAAAGGTACAGTCTAACTGATGCTATCATTAATTTCTTCTTTAACACTAGCACATACAATTTGATAACCTGTTTAATATCTGTGAATCTTCTGTTGTTTGCATTTTTTAAAACATGTGGCAAACTACACTAAAAACAACATTATGGTCTAAATTTAGGTCAGCTCTGGTATGTTTTCATTGATGTAACACTTTTCCAGTACATTTGATTTACTAGGATATAATTTATTGACAGGGGCTGGACTTGATGATCCATAGGTCCCTTCCTGCTCTACAGTTCTAAGATGATGATAATGATTTGGTTCCTTACCCTGTTCTTTACAATGTCGTCCTGTAAGAACTTCCATGCAAACAGTCTCTTGGTAGCAATCTGAATGTGGTGTTGCTGACTACAAATTCTTCCTCTTCACAAATTATTTCATGTGTTGTCCATAATTATTTCAGGCTCTTTGTCTGTGTTTTCAGGACCCTATCTAAGCATTATAAATTTCTCTTAAGAAAGTATTTTTCATATAATGTCTTTAAATTCTTCATAAAACTTTTCAGTGCTTTCTAAATATTTGTCAGAAGTTGAGGAATAAAGTTAAAAAATGTTAAAGCCAGGTCACGTATACAAAAAAAAATCACTTCCTATTACAGAGGTACAAATGACCTTGTGAAAGAAATCAGCCCAGTGTTTCCAACATGTGTGTACCTCTCCATCACTGAAGTATTTCTGATTCAAGACAAGAGCTTGTGAATGGCCAATATCCAACCAGCTGGAATTCTGGATTTATTTTTAAAAAAATTGCTACAGTGGTTCTCTTGCATGTTTATACAAAAGTGTTTTCTGCCTGTACATATGAGATGCCCTTGCCTTTTCAGAATTCTAAATATAGATGGATTAGTCACCAACATTTTTCTGGTCTTTAAGCTCTTTGAGACATCTGTGCAATCCCTATTTCTGACTGAGCTCAGTCTAAGCCCCTGCAGTTTTACTGAAACCTCATTTAAATCACCAAATAGGAAGAAGTAATCAGTTTAAATTGCTTGCTTCACTAATTTTAGTAAGCTAGTTTGAAGGTGGCGATGGAAGATGCTCTTGAAACAATGTGTGTAACTATATAATTTCAAAGTTAACTTCAAACAAGTAATGGATGCATCTTTTACATGTGTGCATATGTGCGATGAGTGCACTTTACCATAAAGTCCATTGATTCAAATGGGCCTACTTTAACTGCGGCTTACTTTAGTACAGAAAGTCAGTAAGAGCAAACCCATTTGAATCAATGGAATTTATGGAGCAGCTGACTCACTAAATACCCATTCATTCAATGGACCTACTTAGGTGCAATTTACTGTGCTGAGCAAGAAGTGTTTGGCCTCTGCAAAGTTATATAAATAAATAAATTATATATTTATATAATATAAATAAAAACCCATTTGTGTGGCAGAAACACAATGAAAATTTCTGGAAATTCATGTAGCAAATAATCCAGATTACACAAAAATTCTACAGTGTTTTGAGAGACAGGCTTCCAAAATTTTAAAGATAAAATTCTGCGTTGACCATCAGTATGGTATTCCAGCAAAATTTTGGTGGCAGTATTATCCCACACAAGTTATTAGCACTCCCCAGGAGATGATCTTTAAAACAAAAGGCAGGCTCTATTAAGTTCTTCTGGCTTCCATCTCTCTGCTAGCCACAATGATCCTATATCCCTTTCTATAAAGCTAATTTGGAACAAGTGGACAACTGTGCTGAATGAGCCACTTGCTTATCCAGCCATACACTGGATGTTTCTAAACAGAATATGTACTAAACTAATCAAATTATATCAGGGTATTAAATCAACTGCTTGATTATGGGCATAACTGATATAATTAGCATAATATATTCCTACGGAAATTGGCTCCAGGACTTTAGCTTTTAGGGTCAGAGGGTGTGATTTAGAAACTCTTATTATGTCAAATGCCTGACGGAATGGTAAACTTAGCAAATGTCTTCTCATCTGTTTTGCCTGACTTTGCTTGCACCCTCCTCATGATTCCAGTATGGTGCAAATAGGATTCAGAGGGCTTGAAAGATAAAAAGAACAAGGGAAAATAAGGAGAAGTTGAGGCTTTTGTGCTCTACTTCACCAGGGACTTAAAGTGTATAACCTAGTAATCATACTTTTAATTAGGACTTTAAAGGGAGAGCAGGAGAATAACATATATATTGTAGTTAAAGAGCTGACAAACTGCCTACATGTGCATTCAAAGGGAAAGGGTGTTTGTCAGAATGTGCTCTGTAGAACAAGTGGCAAAGATCCTAAAACTACTGGAACACATATAGATTGAACAAATGTGTGGCTATTCTGTTGTGTCACCTTACTGGGCAGAAAAAAGCTAACTCAAAACATGGGAAGATGGGTGATATCACATTGCATTTAACCTATATTTGTTTTAAGATCATCTGCAAGGTAGAATTGTATCTAGCAATAACCAACCAATTAATTACCACTGAGAAGACATAGAGCAAAGTTTGGCAACGGAGAGGTAGCCAACTATGTGAGAAATAAAAGTATGCAGTGAATAGAGCAAAATATAAGCCATCTAGGGGCAATTAATCATTAAGTTTATTAAGGCCGTACTCCTATGAACACCCTAGTTTGAAAGTAAAACCCTTCTGAGTAAACATTCATAGAACTGCATTGTAAATCCCTGGATCTTCTATCAAGTAGGGAAAGGGCAATTTATAAAGCTGAACATGATCCTCCCAAATGCTGCACTCAATAAGGTTATTAAGTAGTCATTAGTTGAACAGCAACAGCAATACAAAAATGTCAAACAGAACCTTTGCTAATGTTTGAAAAGCAGGCCTAATCAGTTAGAAGTCCTTTCAGTGCTGTGAGAAACTATAAAATAAGCTTTTATGCAAAAGGTCACATTAATTCCTTACCTTGTTTTAAGGATATTCAGAAACTGCAAAATTTCTGAGAACTGTATCAGTCTAAGAGCTCGTAAAAATCTTAAACCTGTAATTCAAAAGGAAAAGAGAAAAGAGGATATTAGATTATTAGATATTAGATTATTTCCACCTCTGCGTGACTTACAATAGCAGGTATTACATCAAAAGTAACTAACATGGTATCAAATACCTCTGAAATATTGCTCCATGTTGAACATCCCCACACCTTGGTCAGCTATATTCAGAGAAATACAAATTTCTTTCCAGAGAAGCACCTATGCACCAAGCACTTACTACAGTAATTATAAAACATATGGAAAGCTTTAATTCTGAGATTTGTTGTAAAGGCTCACAACAACCTCCCAAAGCTCCCTGAAATAAGGATGACATGCAAGAGTTGAGATGACCTGCTTTTAAACTGAAAGAGAAGGTACTGTACATGCCTGTGATTAAGATGATAATTCTATATGACGTAAATTCTTTTGTTGAAATATTTTGCATTGTCACAAAAAGTTTTATTTGTCAGGAGTCACCTATACTGGAGGGTCTGCTTAGTAAAATCTCTCCTGTAGAACCAAATTTTAAAAATCAATTCTATTTTTTCCTTCTAAGGAAAAAAATAGTGAATACAGATAGTGGCATTATAGTTGGCTGCACAAAACAGAGAAATACTGTAAAAGATTAAAGGCTTAAATTATTAAGGGAGGTTTATGTGGACAGGATACAATTTTGTTGGGAATCTCTCTTCTAAGATTAAAGGTACATTGGGTATTATAAACACACAGCTTATGAAGGAAAGTGTAGAGGTCAAATTTGTGCATAGCTATGCACTCAATATAGTGTTTGAATTAATCCATCACACATCCTTATTTTATCACGATTCGCAATTCCCTCTAACAGAATTCCCTATCAGCTGGCGCAGGCAAACAGGCCCACATGAAGCCATAGTTCCAACATCACAAATGTGCATACAGAGGCATTTATAAAATTAGATTGTTTTTCAACATCAACAACTTGTTACTGTCCCAGTTTATGAATTGCCAACATGTTGTGGCAGGAGATCTCTTTTCCAGGCTGGCTGGATCCAGAACAGAGAATATGTTTTGGTGGTGGAGCCAGTCTGCAACATTTAATATAGGATCTATTGTAGTAATCTACTGCAACAAAGCAATAATGAATGGGACCGGAAAAGTACCATAAGGTCTGCCCAGGGGCTGCTAGATGTGGTCAGCTCATTTTTAAAAACTTTTTTTTAAAAAAATTCAAGATCAGAAATCCTTTCCAGTGATACCACATATTGCTTTCAAACTCCTCTCAGTACTAAAAAGAAAGAATGAAAGAAAACTAGTTGGCCTTCCAATAAGTGGGAAGGATGGGGTATTATATGAGAAGAATACAATATTATGTATAGTAAAACGGCATACTGTATACTTATTGAGAGCCTCAATCCAGAGGCTAAGGAGAAAGATACTCTCTTTATGTTACTTGGACTATATTTAAACAAGCTTCCAAGATGACCAGGAACAATTATCTCATTATAAGGAATATTTCTATTTTAAAAGGTGGGTTGGTCAGAGAAATAATTTTAATGATTTATAGACAATAATTTTTTGATAAAAATGTGCTTAGAACATAAAGGGAATTAATGATAAAAACAACATGTCATTCTTGTGTTACAGATTCATATCGTGTTCAATTACAGCCACCTAAATGAACATCACTGAAGGTAAATTTCATTGTAATAAAAGTAATACACAGTGGCTGTACTTTTGTTACTTAGTGTAGTAAGTCACAACCAGAACAGGCCCACAGAATTATTAGGATATAGTCACTCAGCATCTTTGTAAGTTCCACTGATTTAATGACCCTACTCTAGTTGTGACTTACTATACTAAGTGTCACTTAGTGTAGTAAGTCACAACTAGAACAGGCCCACAGAATTATTAGGATATAGTCACTCAGCATCTTTGTAAGTTCCACTGATTTAATGACCCTACTCTAGTTGTGACTTACTATACTAAGGCCCTACTCTAGTTGCGACTTACTATACTAAGCAACAGGATCTCAACCCATGTATAATTTCTTTAAACACTGAAAATACAGTATCAGGAAATTGTTACTATATCTGATTTCATGGGTGGGCGGGAGAGAAATCTGACTCTGCTAGGAGATATCTGGCTAGTCTGAAATGGATCAGTAAACATTACTAACTGTCCATTACCAAAGGACTTCATAAATCACTCTGGATTATACTGCCTAAATGCAAAAAACGCTTGAGACAACCAGGGCTGGATTTTTGTGCTGAGAGTCTCAAAGCTCTATTCAGTTCTGACACTCAAAAGAAATTATTTGGAACGCTTTTATTCTAAATTTCTCATTTTCAGAAGGCTTTGGTTTATGAGTCCTGGAGTAGTAAAAATGATTATAGATACCCCATAAACAGACCTGCAGGCACATAAATGAAGCAGCCTTTCTTTTGTGTTCAAGAAATTAAACAACAAAGGAGTCCTGTGCTTAAGTCCTTAAGATCAATCACCAAACAAAGAAAACTAATTAGCAAACAAAAGGTCTGAGAGAAGCTCCTGTTGAGACACTCAAATCCCCGCAGCCCTGAAAGATTGTCTTGTGCCAGTTACAGACTTTCTACATCCGCTTCTGCCTTCGTTCTGAATGAAGAGAACATTACCTCAAAGCTACCTCATCTTTTTTTAAAACTCACTTGAAAGTGTGCACATTTTCACCATGCAGGAAAATGGCTTTCTGAGGTGGTGGAAGTCTATGCAGAATTTAACCATTATCCTTCCACAATGCTGGAACTGACTACAAATGACAAAGAATCAGTAAGCCATAAAGGTTTGATTAGCAAAGGAAAGTACACCTTTCAAATAAAGAACAACAAATTACATACGGTTTAATTACTGAAAATTAATCATGCATTTTACCACTAGCCACAATAGCAGGGCAATGCACACTGGCTTGTTCTTTACATGATCACTCATATTAACACACAATAATAGCACTTCATCTGCTTTATTTAAGTGTATTTTAGAGACTGACATAATAAAAGTGAGACTAGAATATCTGCCCTGGATAGTTACACGTTATCTTGTAACATTATTCACTCTGGCATGAATTTATTATGAGAGTGTGTCTTAAAAAGACAGTGGGAGCTTAAGTCGAAAACAAGTCTACGATGGCCACAAAATCATTTAAAACAGCATTTCTGTTTTGGCAGATACAACCTAGGATTTCTTGTTGATTCATGATAACAAACACTTTTAGCAGTTTCTAATCTGAGGCATTACAATGTATGGCCTGGGAGGTGCAGACTCCCACTGGCCACTTCCTGTGTAGTTTTCAAGATAACAGGACCCTGCCCACTTTCTCAAAGGGCCCAGTTGATTAGCTAAATTGCAGGGGAGAGTTTTGAAAAATTCTGTTGCCTAGCTTTTGAAATTGCAGAGTAAAAATTCTCCCCAACTGCTGCCATTATTTTCTTTGCAAGTATCATGTATACTCCTGCATGTACATCCTTCAGCCTTCAAGCCAACACCAGATGTAGTTCTCAGGGGTGAAAAGGTTGCACACACTTGGCGTGATCTAAGATTATGTATTCACATGTTCAGAAGTGTCCTGCCCAAGGGGTTTTATTGACTATCCTAGTTGTGATTTGATTTTCTCACTAAAAATCATTACTTTTGAGCTAGAAAGATAATAAGAAAAACATTGAGTGTACTTCTACATGAAAAGCTGCATGCAAACACTCTACTCTTGAATTTAACTTATTAGGCAGATGGTAAAGCAGTTCTGGCATTAGTTGCAACTGAAGCAAATTTATCACTGCCATGATAGAAATACTACCAATACTATACTTGCCCTTTGAACTGCATGGGTCTAAACAGCACGGTTTGGGTTGTATACTGATTTTCTTTTAAATGAATGAATGAATGAATGAATGAATGAATGAATGAATGAATGAATGAATATTCCGGTAAATACCATGTCCCTGGCCACCCAGAACCCATGAGTTCAACTCTGAAGCATCAAGGTGGTAAATTTGCCTTCAAACACATATCTAAATCAGTCTCTAGATCAGCAGGTCCCAAGTAAATACCGTGCCCCTGGCCACCCAGAACCCCATGAGTTCAACTCTGAAGCATCAAAGTGGTAAATTTGCCTTCAAACACATCTCTAGATCAGTCTCTAGATCAGCAGGTCCCAAGTATCTTTAAGGCTCATTACACATGGTACTGTATGGAAAGGATTGTCAATGCTATGGAAGAGAACCCCAACAGAGAGAACTGCTCTCTCTCTCTCTCTCTCTCTCTCTCTCTCTGTCTCTCTCTGTGTGTGCGAATCAAGTGCTTATGCTTTGTAGTTACGATTTTAGGAGCATAAGAGTTGTAAAAATAAAGAACAAATGGTTTGGTTCATTCAGGGTACATCTGCGCATGTGCCCTCGCCACCATCTACTGGAGGACTGCCACGAACACGGAAATTTACCTGTATAGAAAAACCCTGCTTTGGCCCCCTGCTTGACCGCCAATAAAATAGCCGCAAGGGGTTTTATGACCTTATTTGGTGAAATTCCAAGACTGTGAGCTCATTACGAGACAGCCCTTTATAATCTTGTGTATTATCCTGTTTTCGGCAGAGACCTTGGTTTTTTTCTTACTGGGGATCTCTCCAATTCTGCAGAATTGTAAATAAACTCTTCCGAACGGAGCATATTTGCCTTTTGGCTGGTGATTGTTAGGGGTTACAGGGAGTATTTCCCCTACAGCCGGTTAACAGAGTTATACTCAGATTTTGAACTACACGGGGTTCCAGCACCCCTAACTCCAGCTTATACAGATGCACACCAAAGACACACTTTGTCAGAATGGACCTCTGCAGATCATAAGTGCATCATATGGGAAAACAGTTATGTCACACAAGCAGAAAGAGAATCTACAAAAAGGAAGGTATGAAAATGTTTACTTGATCAAGAGCATTTCCGAGAGGAATGCAACGATCCTTTAAATAATCATAGAACCATAGTAAAGTTATTACTGCAGAAATCCTGAG